TTCACCGGAAATAGTCAGCTTCTAGATTTTTGATGTAAAAACGAGGATTCTCATCAGGAGGAGAATCCGATGGAAGTACGTGTGGCAGCATTGGATGCCTTCAGAAGGCTTCCTTGTCAATTCGAAACCCAGAGACCACTTCTTGAGGTCTACAAGGATACCATGCAGGACTCTGAACTCAGGATTGCTGCCTATTTGACCTTGATGAAATGCCCAACCACCTCGGTCGTTGACTCTGTCAGAGATGCTCTCGAGTCCGAACCAGTCAACCAAGGTATGGATTCATCAGCCTGTACCGTTTCCTGTCAAAAATATTCAGCATGTGCAAAATGAGGTGTTCAATTTGCAGTCGGCTCTTTCGTCTGGACCCACCTGACCAACATCCAAGAGAGTTCTGACCCTAGCAAACAATATGCCCGAGACCTCCTGGCCTCCGAATTCCTCCAGAACAAGTTCAACACCGACGCAAGGAAGTTCTCTCGAAACTTCGAGGGATCCTTCTTCTCTGACGCCCTTGGTGCCGGCGCCCAGGCGGAGAGCAATGTCATCTTCTCGACCCGAAGCTTCGTTCCTCGATCCGCAAGCCTTAACCTCACTGTCCATCTATTTGGGGAGTCTGTGAATCTGTTGGATGTCGGAGGACGTGTGGAGGGGCTGGAGCCTCTGCTCGAGAAATTCTTTGGTCCTGATGGAGCCATGCCGGAAGAGAAGGTCGCCGAGGCTCTGCAAGCCTTCAGGTTCAAGAGGGACACAGCCGATGACATCTACAAAGCAGCTGACGACGACAGCCCCAAAGGATCTGCATTTCTCAGAGTAAGCCTACCAGATTTCACTCTGGAAAAAATCGGCAGGGCCAAATGCTTGAGCAAGACTTTTTCTCTAGGTGTTCGGAAACGAAATCGCCTACAGCCGATTCGAGGATATGGAAGATCTGAACAACAAGATGACCGGACTCAACCCCTTCGGAGTCCTTCACATGCTGACCAGTGGCCAGGACATGGACGTGACCAAGCACATGCGATTCCTCAACATCCACCTCACCATCCCCTTGGGCAACGGCTTCCCCTTGACCTTGGGAGTTAACGGGACCGCCACCGTTCGCCTTAGGGCGCATGGAAACGCCGACTTCAAGGAATGGAATCTAGGCAACGTCCATCTCCAGGGAGAAATTACACCAAGGTTTGTGACCTACCTGACTTCCCCCAGAAAACACAAAGTATTAAGTTCCAATGAGGATATTTGGAAAAAGAGCAACATGCTCTTTTTCAGCTCTTTCCAGCCATTTTTAAGACATGATCTTTTGGTAATTCGTAAGCATTGAAGAATTACGCAACTTTAGAAAATGTGATTTAGCTTGATTTGAAGATGATTTATCATATATTCTACGATGGCGAAATACAGTGATGAATTGATTCCATATATTACAGGAAGAATTATGATGGTTAAACGGCATAATTGACGCTTGAATCTACTCTCTCCCTCTAGCGCAACGGTGGAGATGAACGGAGTAATGCGAGTGGAAGTATCCCCAGGCATGGAATCCGGTGTGGCTTTCACCAGTCGCCTCTTCACGTCCACATTTGCATCTGGCCGAGTCGACATCCAGGGCCGGAAACTGGTCTCCCTTCGTATCGACTCTCCTGAGAAGAAGGTCGACATTTTGGAAGTAACGTCCGAAGTCAAGATGTTGGGGAAGAAGCACGACACGACAGCCGCTGGTGTGAATACGAGGAAGGGCTGCACGGGCCCCGTCACCTCAGACCCCCTGGGCATGGAGATCTGCGCTGAGATCCAATACCCTGATACCATCTTCAAGGGTCCTTACAGTGCGTCCATCTACATGGACAAGACTGATTCCATCCAATACTACATCTTCGAATACCGTTACGATGATCAGGACGTAAGCTAGGAACACTGGTTCTTTTTTTTTTCCTTCGGAAAATCTCAGGGTTATTTCAAGAATCGATTTATATGGCCATATTGCAGACTGGAACGCAAGGGAGGGTTTATTCAGGCAGCGTGAAGGTGGATACACCCGGAAGTGCCATCGATCGACGAATTGGAATCTACTACACCTGGGATCAGCCAGCCAGGCTCGTCAAGGCCACGTTCCACTCACCGATTACTACCTTGGGCGCCATCGGTCGGTATCCATAGTAAAATTCTCATGAACAAGAAACACATAGAAAGAGCTGACCATATACTCTCATTCCAGCCAAGTATTCGAACGACGAAGGGATCCGATCCGTAGATGTGAGCTTCTTGACCAACGGCGATGAAGCGATGACAATGACCGCAGGGCTGAAGACGAGCAAGGATGGACGCGGGATGCGATACGAGCCCACCTTCAACCTCCGCTTTGGGGAGAACAATCCCGTCGCCGCCTTCGAGGGAAGGCTGGACATGCAGGAGGACAAATACAGCATGGAATTCTCCCTCA